TTTGGATTATAACTTGCGCGATTGAAATTTGATTTTAACAATATTTTGATCATATTCAATTCCTTTTTGATTTCTAGTTGCATCCAATTGTTTCTTAGCAATATTTAAAGTATCATCTTGTGGTCTGAATCAACTATTTGATATTTATAATTTGGTCCTCAAACTTTGGACTTGGTCATTTTTCTCTTATTTCTTTCAATTTCTCGTTCAACCATTAAGTTTTAACTATATAACATAAAATAAAATAATTTAGGATATATCTTATCAAAATAATTATCAAATATCGCTATTTTAGGCTCCGAATAAGTGTATAAAATACACATATCAAACATCCTCAAATTTAAATTTTTGTTTGTTCTCAAACAAAACAATAACCTAAATAACAAGCACACAAGCATGAAAAATATTTAGTTAGACAATCTAACTTTTTACCTCAGGATTTAAAGACATCGTATTAAATCTACAAATCGCTTCAAAGTCACAATATCAAATCAATATCCACTCTTTCAATGCAAAACCGACGTGTGTGTGAAAAACTAAGTAGACAATCATACATTTAAAAGTTGCTCCAATTTTCGACCCTCTGTGATCAAATATATAATTTCACATTTTGAATGATTCACACCTCACCAAACTTATTCTTTTTACTTTTTTTTTTTTAGTATGCAATTTAAGGTTGAATTTTTTTCATTACTATCATCACCCTCTCTAGTTCAGGTAGACTCTACTAATTGTAATTCAACACATCAATAAACAAGGATTCTTCAATTCTTTGATTACTTCGACCTTTAGGACTCGACTAGGCTAATATTCGCTCATCAAAAGTCAAGTTTTCTCAAATAAGTGTTTAGAGCTTAACAAGGACATTTTGTGCTTCTTCTGTTTCTTGCACCTGCTTTTTCAATTTTTTTATTTTTTTGTACTTTCTCCCTTAAACTTTTTATATGACTCATTTTACGAGCCTTTAACCGATGACTCTCAAATCAAATGACTATAGGGCATCATGTTGTAAATATCCTAACAGGTTTAATAACTTGAATCATAAAGACTCACGATTCACGAAGAAATGTTTTTTATAAAAAAATTATCTGAATAGTGTAATGCCTTTTATTAAACACATCTAATCAATATCTAATCAAACCAACCTCTAATTTAAGACTTTTACCCAATTTCATCATATTAATCTAAGAGAATCCACACATAAATTTTCACACATAGAATCCATGTTTACATCTGTATCTTCCTACAACCGTAAAATAACCCATAAATTATGCTAAATTTGGTCTTAAGGAAAAAGAATTTAGTATGGTTTGAGTATAGCATTATGTTCGACTAAATCAACTTATCAAGCTTTTGAATCAACTCATTTCATCACAATGTCAAACTCAATTCTAGTGCGCATATAATATCAAGTTTTGTAGGGTTAATTATCAAGCAATCTAGCATGCAACATATCCACCGTTCATAAATTAATATCAAATCTAAAATATAATATAATCATCATTGTTGGTCTGGTTATCTAGCATACGTGAGCACACAACCTAATAAAAGAAAATATTTTTGAAATTCTTCAAAATTTTTTGATTTTTTTAAAAATAATTTTCTCATGTATACTAAAGTAATACTAAAAACAAACACACTTAAACACACAAACATACGAAAAACAAAACCTCAATTTTTTTTCACACCCAAACTTAAAACTAACATTGTCTTCAATGGCATAAATCATAAGTAATATATAAGGGATGGGGAAGAAGAGCACTCCCCGAATTTTTCTGTTGAATGTGTGAGGAGCTATTTAGCAATTCATCTTAAAGTGCAAGTTGTTAAGCTCCTCCCGATATTTATATCCATGGTACATATTAAGAGGAGAAGAAAACAATCAAAAGAGTCAAAATTAGTTCTTCTTTTTTATGTCTGAACTTTTATTTCATGTCATGTGCATATTTCAACTTCTTTTGACTCAATTAGTGTTCTTCTTCAACTAGGCTAAGTGTAGATGATGAAGATGACCCCAAATTGAATTGAAACATGTTTATAACTAATGCAACCTATAAATCAAGAATAACACTACATGTAACGCAATGCAATACGGAAAACAAAATAAATAAAAGGGTTAGGAAATTGGATAGTCTCCCAACAAGTGCTTAATTTATAGTCTTTAACTAGATTGTATGAAGGAATTGATCGTGGTGGTTCACGCTGGAGTCTTACAGCCTTACACTCCTTGCAATTTCCAATTTTACATCATCTTTTTACCCTCCCAACCTTGATCTCTCCATTCTCCTTACGAACAAGATTCCCTAGACGTTTAGGTTTTGTCTCATTCGACCCTTGTTAAATTTCTTCAGCAACGTATTTGGCCTCCTCTAGGACTAATGGTTGCTTGGGTGGATTATATGGTTTAAAGATCTCGTGCGCCCTCCACCCTCACGGTCAGTTCATCATTCTCCATATCAATTAAGGTTCAAGTGTTCAACTTGTTGCTAAAAACGATCGATTTGACATATCTTAGTCATCTTCGAGGTCTATAACATGAAAGTCTGTCGGGAATATCAGCTTCACAACATTGACGAGCATATAATCAACCTTTCCCCATGGGTATCTCCCATCTGCTAGTTGCAGCATTACATTCGATCATTTGACTTCCCCAACTCCTAGTTTCCTGAAAATAAACAAATGCATTAAGTTTACACTTGCACCTATATAACATAAAGTATTAAAATGAAATCATTTGCCTAGTGAAATAGGTAAAGTGAAACTCCTTGGTTCCTTGAGTTTTGGTGGCAATTTATTTTGCAACATTGCACTGCTTTCCTCTATCAATGCCACTTCTTCCCAGTTTCGAACCTTTTTTTCTTAGATATCATGTCCTTTAGGAACTTTACATAAATCGGGATCTGTCTGATTGCATCGATGAATGATATGTTGATGTGGAGCTTTTTCAGCATATCCAAGAACTTCTAGAATTAATTATCGAGCTTTCTCTTTTGCAGTCTTTGTGGAAAAGGTATTGGTGATACAAATTCTTTGGTAGGAATGGTTTCATTAACCTTTGGATCCTTCAATGCTCTTTCTTTCTCTACTTCTTCGTTCTTCTCATATTCTTCAAATTGCTATTCAACTGTGGTATGTACATTTTCTTATGTAGGAATTGGTCTCTTTACATTAATCTTTGGCAGTTGAACTCTACTTCGGGTAGTTATTGCCTCAATTTTCTCTTCCTCCACAACCTTCACTCTCATTACCTGCTGTTTGGGATTTGTCTCAATTTCACTGGGCAGTGCTCCGATAGTCTCTCTGAAAGTGTTTTTGCTATTTACCCCATCTGACTTTCCAAGTTCTTGATGGCTGCTCCCTGATCTCACAAGATTTTATCTGTTCTTTGCGTGTGTTGGGTAGACATCTCCACCAATTTAGTAACAAGATCTTCCAACGAAGACTTATTTTCTGTCTACTGAAAACCATGCAGTTCAGTCTGTTGTTGCGCAATCTGAGCTCCTTGATTATTGCTTCATTGGAAACTTGGGTGATTCCTCTAGCTTGGGTAGTAAGTATTAGGATTTTTATTGTGTTACCGTCTTTGAAATTTTTTAGCATAATTTACATTATTTACTGACTAAGCAAAATGACTACCTACAGTGTAGTCAACACTATCATGATTCCCTCCACAATGCTTGCATTTTGGTACGACTGTTTGAGTTGCACTTATCCGTTCCACCTTTGTGCCAATGATGCCAACTAAGCTGATAGTACTGTCAAAGAATCAACTTCATATACTCGAGTAACCTTCTTTCCACTCACCCTTTCAATATGCCAAAATGCACTAGTAAACGCCAAATCCTTCATGATTTGGTAGACCTGATCCGCTCTTCTTTTTGTGATAGAATCATTGCATGTAGAGTCTACGTTAGCCTCACTTATTGGATTCAGGCCAATGTAAAAATATTGCACCTGGAGACACTTCTGTAATCCATGTTGTGGCACTGACGGAGTAGACTCTCTTGTATTGCTCCCAAGCCTCTGAATAACATTCGGAGTCCAACTGTTGGAATGTGGTAATTGTCCCTCAACTTTCCAATCCTTTTCGGCAAGAAATATTTGCTAAGGAACTTCTGACTCAATTGGTTCAATGTAGTGATGTTCTGAGGTGGATAAGTGTCTAATCACTCTCTGACTAAGTCTCTTAATAAGTATAGGAAAAGTTTAGGTCTGATTGCTTCGCTTGAAATCCCCGGATGCTCGATAATAATTTTTAATTTATTTTTTTTCATTTTTTTACGTTGAATTGGAGGGGATACGAATGGACCGACCATTTGAACTTATATTTATCTGTCCATCCAAGCACAAAAAGAATTATTTTTTTATGTATACAATAATTGATCGATGACTTGTATTGTTGTTATTATAAAAATTCTTTAATTCTTTTAAGCCATCGTCGTCAGCTCAAAAGGTTACCCACACAACTTCTATTTCTTCCTGTGGACCGCCCACAAGTTTCGCGCATTTGAGATGGGGTAAAATGAGACCACAAATATGTTAGACGCGGTCAAGTTTAGTGCACAATATTAATCTATTTAATATAAAATTAAAATGAATAGTAGTACGATCGCATTCAAGGATGAGTTATGCTATCACAAGGATTATTCGTGAGTAAGAATTCCAATCCCTGTAATCTTCTGTGTCATGCATTCGTGTTTGTTTAATTGATCTCGATAATATAAGAAGAAGAAAAAACAGGATTTGCTGATATTTCTCTTCCAAGTCAACATATTCTACATTTCTTCTCCGTTTATAATCCTCAATTCAAAATTTTTGGCTACGACAAAGACCCATATTTGAAGTACAAAATTACATCATCAAACTCTTCATATTTAGCTTCTAGTTTTCCTTCAGAAACAACAATTCTAGCATCTGTAATCCAAGGTGAAGAAACAATTCTTCTCTAGCCAAAGGATAATTTATTTTTTGTAATAAAAAAAATCGATTGTAAGACGGGTTCAAAGCTCATCGTGACCCTGTGGTTGCTTCTTGTTCATCGTCTCTAATTTAACTTCCAGTTCCTACAGCATTTCAACACATCACGACCAACATTAAAAGTAGCTTCATGGAAGATATAGTATTAAATGGAAAAATAAACAGCGAAGTGCATAAAATGTAACCTTTAGTTTATCTTCCACACACATGGCTGGAGTTGATAACAATGCTACGTATCTGCAAATATAAATATATTCAGATACCGTAGATCCAATAAATAAAAATTAGAAAACATAAAGTGACCAATTTTGCATATGTAAATCCCAATGCAAATACATGCACAGAGAGAGAGAGAGATTCTTACTCGCAACGGCTTGGTTCACCAATGTCTGTAACTTCATTTTTCAAACCACATCTCATCTTTACCTGTATAATATAATGAAAATTTCCCATTACATGAAAGGAAACTGGAGTGATTCCCAAACAAAAAATTTAAGGAGCCGAAAAAAGATGCATGTTTATAATGCTTCCTCCATGCTTTAAGCAATATAAACAAAGGTGCAAAAAAAAAAAAAAACTTAAAAATCATTTTAGGAAAAAAGGATATAAAATCTCAATTTTAATCTATGAACATCTACCTTTAAACTTCTATTTGGGCCATTCCAGCAGTGATCTCCATTTGAAAATAGCATGATTCCATAGGACTCTTCAAATTTCTCCCAGCTCCTATATTGTAGGAATAATAATAGATGACAGAGGACTGAATCAAATTAAACTATAGAGGTGTTCTAGCGGACATTACACACAGTAGATCAAATATGAGATGAAAATCAGTATAATTAAAAATACATCCAATCTGAGAAATGCTATAAGCATGTATCAATAGAAATGTCAAGCTAAAAAGTTTCCTACCCCAAACGAGTTGTACTATGACCCTCCATTTGAGTAGCTTGTTTGAAAGGACAGATTTTGTAAACATACCTGAAACAATAAATTTCAATTCCAATTATAGTAAATTAGAAATTTCGTACCAAAAACACAATAAGACTCAAAAATGGGCAAAGAATTAGAAACTAGGAAGTTTCTTACTTGTTCTGCTTGCTCTCAAAACATTGACCATGGAAGGGATAGAACTCCTTTTCCATTCCTGCGAGACAAAATTATAGAATACTCCATCACGCCAAATTTGTGAGCTTTAAGAACAAGAATGAAAAGAGAAAAGGTAAAAAAAGGTTATAGTGCATCAATGTCCAGCACACCAAAATCATATTTTAACTTCTGCGTAAGACTTGATATCCTTGACTGTATTTTAGACAATTTTGAACTGGATTCATCGTACTCTTTGCGTACACGTGCAGCGTCTGCAGATACACAATGGAAAAGCATCAGTATCCACTGATTCCTGTTCTTAACATGAATGGAGTATAAACCCTCTGCTGGTACCAGATATATCCACGGGAGTTCGGAAATTTTTGACAGCCTGAAAGATGCTCCTCACAGTTTGCCGTATCTTCTCCAGCCACGTTTGGCTATTTATACTAGTTATATCTGACCAATTTAGAACAAATATGAGTAACTAACTAACTAGAAGTTGTAGCTATGGAAAAGAACATGGAAAATACATGTATTCCATGTCAAGATTTGAAAGTAAATAAAACACCTGACAAGTGTGATTCGTCATCAGAATCAGGTTTGTATGAAGAACCCGAATCATCATGATCATCCTCCCCATACTCTTCCATCTGGTCTTCACTGTCATCATCATCATCATCATCATCATCTCTCTGCTCAACATCCTCTGAGTCATAGCCATTATATTCCTCATCATGTCTATCTTCAAGTGTTTCTTCATGGTTTTGAGGATCATTATCTTTAGAGGTATCACCCTCTTTGCTTTGTTGCTCGGTCATTTCTCCTGTCCATCGAGAAGCGACACGACGCCCTAATTCTTCTCGTGATAAGGACTCGGTATCTTCTAGTACATGTTTCTCCTAGAAATACGAAGTGACATTACTCAAATAGCTCGAATAACGTTAGACATGCCAAGTTACTAAAAATTAGAATTTCATATTCCATCATCCTAAATATCAAGCACCTAAAATCTACTATTACAACGACTCGATGAGCTTTATACATAACGCATTCATGCTTTTATGTATTAACTTGTATCTATGTAATATAACCATGCAAGCATGCATGTATTTATGCAGGACAAAACTGGATACTAAAAGCACATACCTGATTTCCAGTATCAAGACCAGCTTTGCCATCAACAGTGGAATCTCCCTCTTTCTGTTCAGTATCCTACATAAAGATAGAAGTAAATGATCGTATGTAGATACCCAAAAGAGTCCTGACAACTTTTACAGGTGAAATTTTTCTGTAGAAGAAGACCATACCTGGAGAGAATCCTCTTTCAACTGTTCTGCTCTGTTGGTCTGATCACTAATCTCAGGGTCACCAACAGATTTGTGATTATCTTCCAGGGCATCCTATTAAATACCAGTAATGTAACTGGAAGCGAAGAAACCAAAAGTACAAGATAATTGAACCTATTATCACTCAGCAATTACTTGTGATGCTTGAGAGCAAATAAATTAATGATTTTGAGTTGAGGGTAGAGGTCTTACAATCCTAAAAACACAATTTCTTACGCAGTTATATCAACTTACATATTGTTTAATGAGACACGAGGAAGTTCCATGTGTTGAAACTAGGTTACTCTCATCTAGGAGAAGTTATACATCACAAAAAAGATAGCATAATATCAAAATAAATGTTAATGCAATCCCAATGCATTTATTTACAGTGCAACTTCCTGAGAATGCTGTATGGACAGTGATATGGAAACCTATGCAACGTGAATAGAGAATAAGGAATCAATATCAATCCATCTAATAAATTAGAAGTTCCCACACATCAGTAAAATATTATTCTGCAATACCCAGTTGCATTACCTATGTCAAGATCAATTTTCTTGCATTGGAAATTGGACAATGAAGTTTTTTCTTTCAAATTAATTCATAACCTATTAGTCAATTCCAACATTGGAAAACCTTTTGTTAGAGAGGGAAGTGAACAAAAGTCCCTAGCCATCCTGGGCAGGAGGGGAGGACTGAAGAGGAAAAGGCGGAAACCAGTTACATATTTCCCTTCAAGCAAATTTTTCTCTCCTAGTTATGAGAACTGACACATTTGGCAGTTACATATTTAACAGTTTTGTTGTTTTCGTATCATCTCTAGCCTATTTACATGCAAGATGTGTGATACTATTTAATCTTCAGGTGTCAATCCAAGCTTAAATAGGTATAACCTTTTGAGATGGAGAGTCATCAAGTAAGCCAACCTTATCATATATATCATTCTTCTCAGGTTCTCCTATACTTTCAGTGTTCTCTTCAGCTTTGCTTTCCTTCAATTTAGCTTCTTCATGTTCCTTTCTTTCTAGCTCTTCTTTTTCTTTCTGCAACAGCTCTTTTTCCTCAGACTTATCTATCAGTTCCTTGTGCTCTAGATGAAAAGAAAATCAAATCCCTTGAGTATCTTCTCCCCAATATAGGAATTATATGACAAGAGAAATTGAAGAAAAAAGATAAAATATACCCTTGAGTTGTTGAACCAATCCCTTGAGTATCTTCTCCTCATCTTTCAGCTTTGTTAGTTCAGCCTCCTCTCTTGCTATGGCTAATTTTGCTTCTTCAGTTTCCCGCCTTCGTATAATGACGCCTTCTTTAAATGTTGTTATTTTTTTCTCCAACTTATCTCTTGCGACTTTGCCAGCCTCCCAACAAGTATTAGGGCACTTAATTTTACCATCATACTCGTCGCTCCCATCACAACAATCTGCTCAATATATGCGGCTTTAAGGATTTTCTCCAAAATATGGTGGTGAGATGTGATAGAATAATGAAATAAGACAATGAGAACAATATGAGGGTCAAGATGCTAAAAATTATTGTACCTCATCCACGTTTACGAAGCAAAACATCCGAGCAGGATGTGAAGAAAAATTAGTGATACAATGAGCAAAAATTAACTATACAATTTAGTAAATAATAATGCACAACTCGTTGAGGACAAAAAGGAGTAATCAAGTGAAGATCATATACAAGAAAATCATTATTTAACCAAGTATATCTAGAAGCTGGAGTTGGCACATCTATAAGATAATGAGTAACAAGATCATCACTACATTTCTTGTAGAAAGACAGTTGATAAGATAGTCTTATAAAATGGAAAAACAGAAGAAACAAAAATGAAGATTCACACGGGACAACAATATCATTCTCCATCGTCTTTCAAGTGCCAAGAACGTAACCAATAAAACGAAGACAAGCAGCGAAAAGCTTCTCTTGGTTAAACCTATTCACTAGTGGAAACATCTATGGTGTCACCAAAGCCATCAACGCTTATCGGATACACATGCTACATATATGAATATTCGCTATAACTAAACAGTAACACTTCAAATTTGAGTATGTGATTACATTAATGTAATTATCCGTGTAAGAGAGCATATAAAATAAACTTGAAGTTCTATTACACGAGAAAGGGGTTACGAGAAGAAATATTTATGAAAGTGTGCTTACTGTGTCTACTTATCTCAAAAGCTCAATCAATCATCTTACTCTTACTAAAAACCTTTTCAGAGTAAATCTTCTCTTTTCTTTACCAAATTTAGGGGTTGTTTGAGCCCATTTTTTTGAAAATACATTTATTCAAAACTCTTTTTCAACCACACATTCTTCAATAAAATAATATTACACGTAAATTGAAAACTTTTCTTAATTTTTAACCACATATTTTCCATAAATAACTATACAAAAATACATTTTTTTCTCTCAAAATGGGGCTCAAACAAGGGTTTAAGCTCAGATTTATGGTAATAAATACAAAATCCCAAATTAATAGCATAATTTGTCTCACAATTAGACTACAAGAATCATAGTGTACTTATATAGAACTTGTGTCAATCACTTCTGCAAATGAACTGTGTCTTTAATTGGAGATGTGGAGTAGCACTTCTCCTAATTTTTGTGATATAGACATACTAATTTGATCAACCCATTGACATTCCAAAGCATCATTTTAAAGCAAAAAGCTAGCAAATGTCTGAGGAATGTAGCTCTAAATAATTGAAACAGAATTTTAAAAAAGCACCGCTTACCACATAAACCATCATTGACCCTAGAAGAATATAAGAAGAGTGGAACATGTCCTGCATTCTTACAATAGAACTTCCCATCCGGGCATGCGGACGTTCCTGCAAAACCCACCATTACCCAAACAGAAACTCATCTAACATATTTCAAATTAATACTAAAGAGTTGCAACAACCCACCATATCCTATTTCTTATCCACCGATTATTGATACTAGAAATATGCTTGTAAAAGAACAAGGCTCTAAATCACCACAGAACAAATTTTGGACAAAAATCAAGGAGTTAGTGGAAAAATACCTGGCTCATCCGAGCCGTCGGGGCAATCGCAAAAGTCATCATTGAACTGAGACTTGCTGAATTTCTTTGATCCATCTTTACATTTTATGGTACCAGAAGATGACAATCCATTGTAATGCTTCTCATCTGTACACCCACCAACTCAAGTACATCATTGCAATTTACATTTCATATCAGAATTCAGTTTTTCAAAGGTTGTAATCTAAGATTCAAGCAGGAGAAACATGGTCCCACCTTCTGGGGCAACTCCGAGAAGTGTGGCTTTCGAAGGAACAGATGCCGATCTGCTAATGCCATACATCAGCACAGCGCAAAACAACAAAACTACCCTTCCTAATCGTAACTTCATCATGTATGCCTTCCGTTAAAATAGTTATTAAACAATCTATATCGGATATTGGTGTTTTCCCCTCCCCAGAAAAAAAGATTAAACAGAAAACCTAAAGTTAATTGCTAAGAAATTAAGGATAAATTAACATTAGGATCAAGTGTATGAATTTTCACAAATGAAGAAAGACTGTATATTGATGAAATCCTGCGCGATTTTACAGCCACAGAGGGTGTTTTGTAGGGGAAAGATGGGAAAACAAGAAACGACGTCGTGGAAAGAGAAAGGAACCAAACGCCCGGTGGCCACTTTGAATTTGGGTAAATTGCAGTATCCATCCTCAACCTTTACCTCCTTTCGCGCTTCTACCCTCAAAATTTGTTTATGACATTCCTATCCTCAACCTTTTATAAATTAACAGTTATCTTCCTTCTAAAATTGCTTTTGGTGAAAAAGACAACTTTGCACTCAACTTCCAAAAAAAAAAAAAAAAAATCCATAAAAACAATGAAAAGAAAAAGGGAATTTTACAAATACACTATGATTACACTTCATATGTACAAACTAAGCCCCCCGTTTTACACCCATTTTCTTTTCAAAAATTCATTTTTTTACAGTAGCTTTTTCAAATCTCGTGGGACCAATGTAGACAATCTATCAATTTCATGTCAGACAATATTCCCTTCCCACTAATTTAATTGTTGTTTCCAAAATTGCCCTTCCATTGTGTTATGTGGAACAGTATTCACGTAAATTAAAGGTTGAGGGTTTTAGTGGAAATTTACTTGTACAAATTGAGGGCAAAACCGGAAGATGATTCAACGGGAATATGGGCATTAATTGGTAGTCTGCAAACTTTTTGACCATGGGCAATAATTGGTTGTCTGACATACTTTTTGTGGAAATTTATAACTTGTTTGGGAATGATTAAAATCCAATTAAAATTGAAAAAAAAAATGCTTTATTTTCAATTTTAATCTGATTTTAATCCCTCCCAAACAAGCTTTTACTGTAATAGAATGAATTTTGCACACGAAAAAACGGATGTCAAACATAGGCTAAATTTGACTTAACTTTTACAAAATGAGTAATGTTATTTGTACGTCATTACGCACATAATGATGCACAAATAGATAACATGAAAGTGAGATAAAGAGGAAAAAAAGGAGATGAAAAGAAATTCAGTTATTATAATCTTTCTTTCTCTTCCATGGATCGCGTTTTTTAAATGGCCATGTCAAATACCATATTCAACGCATAGGTCTAACTTATTAATCATTCACCACAATGGTCTTTTTAACATTAAAATACAAACATACCCTTCATTTCAAAACTAAAAAGTGAGATTTCTCTCCCCCGGGCCACCCAGACCCTGCAAACCACTCAGACCAGCCCGGACCACGGACCACCCGGACTCCAAACCATCCGAACCCCTCAAATCTTGTTAACATATAACAGATCTGTTGTGATTTATTCAACATAATAAAAGAATTTTTTGTTTAAATCTTTAAATATTAAAGCTAAAAACACATATCCATCAATATTATAAGTAAAAAAAATAAAGAAACCTTGAATGTGTAGATGGATGAAAAAACCTTGAAGAATAGCGATGGAGAGGAAATGGAGATGGAGATATGGAGATGGAGAAAATAAATAAACATTGAAAACAAGAAATGGTAAGATTTTCAAATTCCCAGTGTTCAAAATGGAAGTAAAATGGGTATTGTCATTTCTTTAATTTTTTTACTTTTTTTTTCACTTAAATTTGGTCGAAGGCCATTGTGGAAAAGTGGTCGAGTCAACCGACCATCTACCACAATTTCCTTCTCTTCCATGTCATATATGTGTACATTATTACATACACAATGATGTACAAATAATATCATAGTTGTCATACCTGATCTAGTCGTTGGCCCAAACAAATCATCGAGGTCATCATGTCAGTAGTTTAACCATTGGGTCATTGTAAGGTCAAATTTTAGTTTTCTTTTTTTAACAAGAAGACAATATATCTATTACTTTACTAAGACTAAACTTATATATTTTTTGTTACATTTAATGCTAAGATTCATCAATTGTCATAGTGGTCAAACTTTCAATAATTCATAAGTGAAACACATGTTTGAATATTTCCCATTGCAAATGTGATATAAAATTTTGCTTTGAATCGATTTGGCAAGTTTGGATTGAATAGGATCCAATTTTCTCCGAACCGATACGGTTCGAACAGTTATGAACACATTCGAGTGGTTCTTCATTGGTTTATATGCTAATGAACCAATCAATACAAATCAAATCGGACCATTGTTCGATTCTCGATGCCAAACCGGCCGTTTTAATAACTATGAATAACGTTACTCCAACTTTTACAAAAAATAAAAAATAAAAAAAATTAATAAATAGGCTATTATATGACCTTTGATCGATTCTGATACAAATCAGATTAGAAACGGAAATTGATTGCTTGAAAGTGAGGATTTAATTTAAAAAATTATGCCCAAAAAATAAGACTTCGAAGGCTCCTCGTCAAGCCCCTAGGGCTATCGATGGATTAATTTTGATTTAAGTTCGATTTAAATCTGATGAAATTAACGGGAGATAGATTTAGGATTTCAATCTGATAACCCATGAAGATTTGAATTCGATAATTTGTTAACTAAATGAAGCAAATATGAATATAGGTCAATCAAATCCAATAGCAACCCGATCCGATTTGTTATAATAATATAATATATTTTATATATAACCACATAATTTATTACACATATTTCTATTTTTTTTCATTTTGAAATTTGTATCATACTATATGAGTTTTAATGGAAAATATCAAATTTCAATATAACATTATAATATATTATAATAAATTTTGTATTGAGATTGAAAATTCCCCTCTTTCCAAAATATTTTAGATTGGGTATCCGATAACATAGAAAATCGATCCATTTGATTATTGGATTGGATCGGATCAATGAATTATTCTTATCGAACCAGCTCAAATATGGATGGTACCAATCCCTACAAGCCACCATTCATGCTCCCTTCCATTACCCATGCTACCCTTGGCTTGGCCTGCATGATTACCATTCTACTCCCTATAATGTTTCGATTGTACTACATATATATAATAGTTTACACACATATGATGTTGAGAGAAATGATTGAGTCAAAATTTATTCAATCAAATAAAAGAAAAAAAAAATTCCCCCTCTATTTTTGATATCTTATATGTACATAAACTATTATGTACAGGTGACATTATTCATAATGTTTCCCCTAAACCTCTATGCTTTGTGAGAGTTGTCCTACTCATACAGAAGCAGTGCACATAATTCATTACAGAAGCAATTGGAGTGCACGTGAGGGTTGTGTTTTGATAA